TAGCTTGGGTTTAAATCCCAATTCTACTTAAGAGTTTTATGACTTTAAGCAAAAGACTCATCAAGTCTCTGTGTCCTCATCTATAAAAGAGTTAACATCACAAGGTGTCTACCACAAATAAACATTACGGAGCACATCAAGTATTTAGTAGAATGCCTGGCTTAAATGGCAGTTTAAAATCAGAGCAATTAAATAAAAGCATTTTAGACAATCGGTATTACATAAAGAGAAATTTAAACTAAAAACTCTAGAACCCCCTAAAGCATTAATGCATTATTAAACAAAACTTTACATTTTTTCCAAAAAAAAAAGACATAAGGATAAGACTACAAAATACTTGAGTAAATTTTAGTCAGCAGTCATTAAAAAGTTCAAATTTCTATTTTTCATCATCTTCACATTAAATTCAACAGTATCATTTGTTCACAAAGTGTTTTTTTAAAAACTGAGCCATACTGCTAGGTGACATGAAGCCCTCTTAAATTTGTTAAAATTATATAAGACAACTGTCTTATCAAGTAAAAAGTATTCATGTATATGGATTCTATCACCTGGAAATCAACAGTCCTGAAGTGGTCAAGTTACTACATTTTTCTTTAATGACCTAAATAAGGTAATAGGGAATTACAAAATGACAAACAAAGAAGTTTCAAAAGCTACAAGACACACTACTTCCACTGAAGAAAAGAACTTCCTTCTGGACTACAGAATGTTATATTCTCAGAACAGAACCTATATACAATCGGTCCTACTCTTGCTTCTTGAATTCCAACAGAATGTCAAAGTAAAAGAGGAGCTTGGAAAGCTAGCTCAAGCCTCCCTGGCCGATCAGGGAAGACAGAAGACCTAAGCACTGGAAGTGACTGCTGTAGTTTTACCACCGTAAAATAAACAGCAAAGGCGGAGGAGATGTATCCAGAAGGAAGACACACATCGCAAGGCATTTGGACCCCAAGCACTGGAAAGGTTTGCCCTCAACATCAAATTCAGGGTAAGTCAACTCCATCTCTACCTACCTACCGTTTGCAAGTAAGACACTGAGTAAGAGAGATGGGAAAGTGCCTAACTAGACAGGTGAATTTTATATATTTTTAATTTCTATTGGATACTGCATTCTATTGAACAATTCGAAGTTCAACCATTTGTGCATTTACATCTCTGATAACTAAGTCCAAGTTCAGACTAGAATCCAACACTCAAGGAAAAGTGGCCTTCCGACAGGGTTCTTCAACATCCTGTAGCAATTACTGAAATTTAAGAATGATTATTTCATACCTCAGGCCAATTTCAGGAGTGAAAAACTAAATCCATCAATAACAGCAAATGTCCTATTAGAATAGGTTTCATAATGATCTAAAACACCATCAACCTGAACTGTTACTGGTGAACTTCCCAGTTTCTAAACCAATTACCAGTATCTTTGGAAGTGAGTTGAATTCCAAGAGCTCAACTCCACATATACTTTTCACATACATATGACAAATATCTTCCCCTTCTGCCCACTAAGTATCTAGTCTTTTTACTTAGAACTGTATTGCTTCTTATTACAGTAATGTAAGGTGCAACATTAACTCTGAAAGAATGGTACTTGTTAAGGGGGAGCGGGGAGAAAAGAAGAGCAAGAAGACCTATAGTTCCATAACTTGGGAAGCTGAGATGGGAGAATCACTTGAGTCAAGAATCTGAGATCATGCTGTGCAAACCAGTAAGACCTTGTCTCACAAGGAAGGTGAAGCGTACACACATGAATACACACATAGGATACAACACTTAAAACACTGAAAGAGCCAATGTGCGTCACTGTGGGCAGTCACAAGGATCTAAACTCTTGCTATAATCTTGCTTCATTACAAAATGTTTTGACTTCTAAATAACCTCAAAAAGAAAATGTTTATGACTCCAAATTCCAAGAGCTGATATCTTCTCTAGCTACAGGGTACCACTAACTGCAGTTACTCAGCAACTGTGATATTCCAAAATTAATTCCAGGTAACAAGTCAGAACAGAGACCTGTAAAGTCTAATAATTAACACAAAATTTTCAACCTAGAAATGAACTTGACAAGGCATTACAATCCACTCAGAAAACTAGCTAGAAAAATGTTAAAAGGTTAAGTCATTAATTAGAGTATGTGGTGCAGCCTCCAAAAGACTCTCCAGTGTGTCTATGAGTTAGGCAAGTCAGGAAAGACAGTTTTGCAAGTGATCTCCTCTTCAGGCATTAACATCCAGCTGCACCAACAGTCCTCCGCTAGTGACTAGCTGTGCAAGGGCAAACCTCCAGCCTCAAGTAGGCTTATCCCTGGGCAGAGAAGGAAAACAGGCTTCACATTTCTATCTCACATAGTTTTTTTTTGTTTTTAAGAGAAACGTTTTAGAATAGTACTAAATTTGTTTTGGTTTGGGGGACAGGATCATACTAGCTTCAAGCTCACTACGCAGCTAATGACCCTGAACTGCTGATCCTCCAGCTTCCACCTCAGGTGCTAAGATTATACCACATGGGGTTTAATGCAAACTTCTGATCTACATATTGCAGATCAAATCCCTTAACGGTGAAATAGTATAACAACACATGGCTCTCACCTTAGTGCATACCATACAGGTATATGCAGACTTAAAAATGTACTTCAAAACAGTATTTTGGGCTGTTACAAAAATCGGTCTTTCAATTATGACTATTCTCACAAGGTGCTTTCTATTTAAAAAATGTGGGAAAACAATAATAATATGCAATAGAAAAATTTTATAAACCTCAATTTCTTAGCGAATTGTTATCCTGGTGTAAATCTTCACTTTCAAACCTAATCTTTGAATAAGCCAAAGTTCTAACTTTTTTAGTTTGTTCCCACTACTTAAGTAACTCAGTATTCCCCCGCATACTAAAAATATTTGTCTCACAAATACAGCTAATGCCAAATGAGTTTAAAACAAACAACAAAATATACACCCTCCGGCCTTTGCAATAAAATAATTCAGTGGTTATTCCAGAAGTCTAAATCTTAAACAATACTGCAAAAGACACGGCTCTAACTCATAAATATCTTAACACAGACCAACATCTTCCATACTTAGGAGCACAAAACAGGCCTAAAAAGCAGTTGTTTTCCAACTAGCTGATGGTAAATATGCCAAAATATTTCCCACCCTAAAAAACAAGTCTCTTTATTACATTTAATTATAAGATTTAGTAGTTGAATACTAGGTATTCAAGAATGAAAAAGTTATACAATAGAGAATATGAAAGCCTCAAATATACTCTAATGGTGTACTTCTCTCAACTATTCAAAGACTTACCAACTACGTACCTTCAAATCAGACTGTGGTGACAAATAGCGATATTCTGCTTATCTTTCCAATACCAAGATATAGTTAAGAATGGAAAACAAAGCCACACTGATTTGAGCGAAACAGATGACACAACCAAATAATAAAACAGGCATCAAATGACGTGTGTGTGAAGAACTGCTCGTCTCAATGTGTCTTCAGGAGAAATGTGAGGTGGGCAGTGGGGAAACAAAGTGAGTCTGCACCTTACAACACGTGCAATGGAGTGATGGTTAAAGCATAATTTTCGCTAAGTCACATACTTATTCCAGAAGAGAAAAACATTCTCTTCACCATCATGAACATATTCCTGACCCAGGAATTTAAAATTAAAATGGAATTTTGGCCTACGAAGCAATGAAAGTTCTAATATGGGCTGTGATTCTTTATCTCAAAAACAAACAAAATAGCATCGGACATTCACATGAGATGGTTTAAGGTCCATGGAAGATGGTCCCTTTTCCATAACTGCAAATTCTTGTCTCTTGGTCTTTCTGTATACTCGCTAATTAACTGAACCTCATTAGGCAGATAATAACGATGGTTCACTCAGGAGACACCCGCAACCTCAGAACCAAAAGTATTTCGAATGGAGACCTATTTGACTGGCGAGGAGGGGGCAGGCTGGGAGAAGGGAGGTACCAGGCACACGGGTGGGGGCTGCAGGTCAGAGCAGCTGCGTCCAGTTTTACACTTACTGGTTTGCTAGGGTACACGTTAGATAGATGCGTTTTTAGTTTCCCCACGGTCCAGTTCAAGAAGCAGCTAATAGTCTGGTCACTGTATTTCTGATTCGGTGCTTTAATGACGAGAGTCACAGGAATCTCCATCCCACTCTGGTCCATGGTGCTCTCCAAGTCGGGCAGTCTAGCGACGCTGCAGCTAAGCCCTCACTGGGCGGGCACGGCTGGGATGGTGGGGACAGACGTGAGTCCTCAATATTCTGGGTCCAAATCAGTCACAAGCACATCGGGCGATACGAAGGCCATTGCCGATACCAACGATGGACGGTGGTGGTGGTGGCGGCAGGCTCTGGGTGCCGGGCCGGGGGTGCGGCTGTCCCCGCCAGGTCTGGGCTCCGCCTGGCTCCAGACTGCGGAGGAAGGCGGGCAGGCAGGCGACCTGGGGAAAGACGCGAAGGAGAAGCCCCGGGGGACCGCTCAGCGCCCCGCCCCTGCCTCCGCGACCCCCGAGATGAAACGCAACAAGGCCCTACGCGAGCAGCCGCGCGGCCTGAGCGGCTGAAGGCAGCGGCCGGAGGGCGAGCCTCAGAGAAGTGAGGCGGCGGCCGGCCGGGGTGCGAGCCTGGAAGAAGGCAGCGGCCGGGGTGCGAGCCTGGGGGAAGGAAGGCCGCGGCCGAGGGCGAGCCTCAGGAAGCAAGGCTGTGGCTCACAGCGAGCCCGGAGGAAGGCAGGCCGCCCCTGCTCCGCGGCTCCGCGGCGCTCGCCCTCCCGGTGTCCGGGGCGGGGCGGCGCGGTGGCGGTGGACTACTCCGGCCCTCCTGATCGCGGCCGGGCGGCAGGTGGCAGGGGGAGGGCGGGGACAGGGCCGCGGCGCCGCGCGAGCGCCCGGAACTGTTGTTGCGAGGAGGGCCGGGGTCCCGGGTAAGCCGGAAGGCGCGAGGCGGAAGTGCGTCACGTCGCGGCACTCCCTTTGACCCGGCCGGGTTAGCCCCGCCCCACCCCCGGGCCAGCAGGGCCTCCGAGTGGGCCGGTGTGCTCCCCAGTCCCCCGCGAGGCGCCACCCCTGGCGTGTGGCTGGCACTAGTGTACCCCGCCTTCACCACAAGTGGTGGAAGGGCTCCGTCCCACGAGCTGGCTCGGCAGAGTTAATAATATCGTATCCTTCCTGAGGCTGAGTCCAAGCTTAGGCTCTCGTTTTTCCTCTATGTCAGCTGCCTGCCAGCCAGTGCCACGTCGGGCAGGGAGCTCCGACTCAAACCTGAGCTCACCTCGGCTCTGTGCAACTCTGGTTAACCGTTTCTGAGCCTGGGCTTGGGAGCCGATGCTGCCTGTCCTACTGCATGACAATGCGTAAGTGGACTGTGAGTGGAAAGCCAGGCGGGTCTTTATCGTGGCTGTCTCGCAAACCTCCGCCTGCCATAGTTCCTCTTAATTCTCACAAAATGCGTCAGGTTCTTGCATCAGCTGTGTGTTCTGTCTTGCAGTTTAGACATGGCAATGCGAGGATGAGTCCATTGTTGCACCCTGCCCTGTTCATGTCTGCAGTGGTTTAGGAGTCCCTACAGTAAAGTTTGTTCGATGTGCATTTTCACAGCTCCAGGGTTCCACTTGAAGGGAGGGGTTTTCAGGAGCTGGTCTATTTCTTTGCCCTTAGGAAGGACTTCAAGTTACCACTGGATTAGTGACCAAGGGGAAATTCTTCTCAGTGGTTAAATAGGGCGGAATCCCCTACACCAGTAATTTTCAACTTGTGAGTCGTGACGCCCTTCACAGGGGTCGTATCAGATATTACATTAAGATTCATAACTAGCAAAATTACAGTTATGAAGCAGAAATGAAAATAATTTTATGGTTGGGGGTCGCAACATGAGGAGCTGTATTAAAGGCTCGAAGCATTAGGAAGGTTGAGAACGACTGCCCTACATCTTCCTTCCCTATCCTACCTTGCATTTATGTTAGGACACCCTTGATACTGTAGCTGTACTGTCTCAAGTTCTATTCTCTAGTAAGAGTGAAACCTCCATTCCCAGTCACTGTGACCATAGCCCCCTAGACTCCAAGTTTTCTGTAAGACTGCTCTTTATTTACCGAGTCACCCCCGTGGGACCTTAATTTTAGCTAAAAACAGATTTTCAGATTTCCTTAAAGCTAGTGGCTTTACCGCTTATATGTTCATGAGGGACATGAAAAAACAAACTAACAAAAAACGCACAAAGAGGGAAATGAAAAAAATGTCAGAACGACTATTGGAGGCTGGGTCCTTAATGACATTGTGATCTGTCTTCATAAGATTTGTTTTATGTCAGAATCCTGTTGAATCCAGGAACTCCCTACAACCCCCACCAACCACTTCTGCAGCTCCTGTCACGTAGGCTTGTGACTTGGGCTTCCAGGAATCCTTTAGAGTTGATGTAACCATCTCATGCAGCACTATAAGATGCATATCAGCCACAAAATGTTCATACTTACTAAGACAGTAAGGCATTTCACAGTGGTAAGTAGAGTCCATCAAAGGTTTACTAGCATAGACAAAAACATTTAAAACAAAATCAAGAAATTAAAATATATGTTATATGAGATGATTTTAAACTTTATAAACTTGTATTAAGAGGGTTCCTAAAACTAGTTTTGCTCATGTTGAACTGCGTCAAATGAGGCACGTTACATAAATATTCCATTTTTTTAAATGTGTAGGTGTAGAATAACATTGGAAATGGTGGTCCCAGAATATTGGTACTGTGACTTGGAGTTTGGGATAACCAAATGTTAGCACTAACATGCCACTTAAAATTCTCTTTACATGTGGTAGATAAAATTTGGAAATACAAAAAAACAATTATATGTGTCACTTATACTTGGTTACTAAAGACAAATTCTAAGATAAACACTTGGGTTTTGTTCATTTATTTGGTCTTGGTGGGTTTTGTTTTGTTGTCCCCATTGTTTGTTAAGAGTACAGTGTTAACAGATAATGAAAAATTTGTGATTGTTGATTAATGTTCTCCAATAATATTAACTTTTCTGTTATACATCAGCTAGTGGTTAAGGTTGATTTCTCAAGTCCATGGAGTAGCACTACTGAAAATAAAAGTAAAAGAGAGATTTAAGGAAAATTAGTTTTAAATAGCAAAGAGTGGTTTCCAGTATATGTGGAATGCTTACTTCTGATTCTTTTAATCATCAAGGGTATCGGGCAAAGATAGCTAAAAAGGTATAATTGATTCATTCTATGAGAGTCTAGTTTCTTCTTAATATTCAAGGAAAATCAAGGCTTTGTATCTGAAATTTGAAGTACCTTCTAGGAACCTAAAATACTCTGAGGATGTTGGTTGGTATATGCTGGGTGGATGGCTGGTAGATTGATTGCCATCTTGGGATAAACGGCTCTGGTCAAGTTATCTTGCAGTTGCTTTCAAAGGTGACATTGACCATTTGGCTTCTGATTTCTTCCATTTCCTCTTTCACCATCCTTGGCATTTTTTTTATGATACTGTGCCACAAAATATCTAATCAAGTCTCAATCAAATGCAATGCTATTTAAAACACACACACACACACACACACACACACACACACACACACACACACACACACACACACAAACACCTGTACTGGAAGCCTATCAAATTTAGTTCATTTCAGCGCTATTTTTAAAAATCCTAATTGGTCTCAGATGTTTAATTATAAACCATCTTGTAGAAAATGGAAAAGAGCTGGCCCAGTGGTACATACCCATAGTCCCAGCTGTGGAGCCGAGGATCTATAGAGCTCAAGAGTTCAAGACCCTGTCCCCCACCCACATTGACAACTGAGGCAAATGGGAGAGCTGTCCCTGAGGTCCGAAGAGCAGAGCGGGAGAGCTGTCCCTGTCCCTCATCAGCTGCAGCACTGGGGAGAATGGCTCTTACACCTCCCTGGGCAACACAGCAGAGCTGGAGGTGTAGGTATAGGAGAACCAGCTCGGTTGTGAAAGCCAGAGAACTGGCCCGCCCCTTGCTCATCGATGCTAAGGGTGAACTAGCCAGGGCAAATCTGGAGAGCCCATCCTATGAGCTAAGACAGGGAAGAACTGGCAGCTGACCAACCCTGCAACTATCCAGGCCCAGAACCAGGGTTATGTGTTGACCCATCCCAACATCCACCCCATCTGTGATCTCCTGGAGCACGAGGTGGGAAGGGGGGGGGGGGTGCCAGTCCTGTGGACCCAGGGCTGCAGGATCTCCATGACACAGGGCAGTGACAGGATGTCCAGGAAGAGTCCCAGTGAGGACCCAGAGTCGATGGTGTAGCAGAGACCAAGGGCCTTGAACCAGTCCAATGGTTCTTTTCAATAAATGCCTGCATGCAAAAATATGTGGCTAAAGAGGTTTGCTTCGTGACTCACTGTGTCATACTGCAGCTTCCGTGACAGCTTTTCCCCTCCCCCCCCCCCCCCCCCCGCCTTGTTCTCTTTAATTTTATTTTGGGGTGGGGAGGGAGATTGGTGGGATCAGGAGGCATGATGTGAAAGACACAAAGAATAAATAAAAATAAATTAATTTAAAACAAAGAGTTCAAGACCAGGGCAATTTAACAAGGCACCATCTCAAAAAAAAAAAAAAAAAAAAAAAAAGTCACGGATAACAAGGCACATCATCATAAAAGCTTTTCAAAAACATTTTAGAAGCAGCTAGATCAGCATTCCAAATACCACAGGCACTCAGGCACTCTTCCCACATTTCTGAAGGGCTGGGAAACATTTGCAGAGAAAGGAGAATCCTAATTTTCAGTGTAGCACGGCCAGTCGCATAAACATCCACAGCTGTTATAAGTGAGCTAAAGTCTGCAGTATTAGCATCCATTGTTAGGCCTACTCTTCCCCTTTGATTAATCCAAAATATGTTTATTCTTGCTTTTTATCGGTGCTATGGACTGAAAGCAGGGTCTCCTGCATGCTGGGCAAGCACTCTGCCACTGAAATGTGGCACAAAAACTGTGTTTATTCCTTTTAAATTATTTTCACATTCTTTATTCTTTATTTATGATTTGGGGAGGGGCAGATTCTACTCTCTGAGAATATTATCTATGAGCATGTATTAGTTATAAAATAAATTGCCTCCAAACACTGTGGGTTAAAAAATTGTGAGTTATTTTGTGCTTTTGGTTTGAGACTCTTACTGGCATTGTATCCGCTGATCCCCAGTCATCTACAAACTCAGTAAACAAAGGAGGACCAGCTTTGCACGTACCTGACTCACATGGCTTGTGCAATGGTACTGATTATTGGTTAACGTCTAAGTTCTTCTCTGGTTAGGTCTCTTTACAGGACTGCTGAGTGTCCCACACATGACAGCTAGGTTTCCCTAGAATAAGATGTCCAAGAGACCAGTGCAAAAGCCTTAATGCCTGTTATGACAACCTTGGAGATCATTTGGTCACCTCTGTTGTGCTGTGCTGGTCACATTAGCTCGCCCTGATAAGATGTGGGAAGAAGAGTATAGACTCCAGGCAGTGGGGTGTGTTGGTCTCATTCCAGGAAAGCTGCCATAATGGACTTAACTGAAGCACAGCAGGTCTCTTCCCCTTCTGCCGATGACTGTCCAAGAGCAAACCCCAGTGGCTCACAGCTACTTTCCCTTCTGCTCATAGGCTTTCAGGTGTTTCTTTCCTCGATTTCTTAGTCCTACAGTTGACTGTTTCTCAAATGCCTGAAAAGCAACATTCAAATGAAATTGAAACTATAACATTAAATTTAAACAAGAAAAGAGTTATCAGCCTAACCAGCAGAGGGGAGGTAGTTCTAATCTTCCTTCAGAGATAGGCATGCAGGGTGCACATGCTCCTGAATCTTCTAAGGTTTTTATTTGTATATACAGATATCCATTTATATACAGGAGAGTGTCTGGCTCACTTGCAATGCTTTTCAGAGGCCAATGAGATACAGTTCTCACTAGGAGATATTTTTTCTCAATTAAAAAAGTGGCCAGTTAACATTATTACTGTAAGATTCCAAATATACCCTCCTTTGCTTGCTGTAAGAAATAGTCAAATCATGTAAACACCTTTGCAGGAACTTAAGCTGTCAATAGAGGACATTGGAGAGGTCTCTACCTGGTAGTATGTTTTCTTTCTTTCTTTTACTTTTTTTAGGATTTATTTTTATATGTATGAGTGTTCTGCTTGCATTTGTGTGTGTGTGTGTGTGTGTGTGTGTGTGTGTGTGTGTGTGTGTGTGTGTGTGTGTGTGTTGTATGTCACATGGGTGTCTGAGGAGTTTAGACGATAGATCCCCTGTAACTGGAGTTATGGATGGTTGTAAGCCACCATGTGGGTTTTGGGAATTGAGCCTCCTGCAAGAGACTCTGACAGGTTCACTCTTTCTTTCTTCCTTTCCTTTTTTTTTTGGTTGTTTTATTTTTCAGTTTTTTCAAGACTGGAACTCACTCTGCAGCCCAGGCTGGCCTCAAACTCAGAGATCTGCCTACCTCTACCTCCCAAGTACTGGGATTAAAGGCATGCACCCCCACACTGGGCTTAGACAGGCTCTTTCAGTACATGAAATCTACAACTCTTTTAGCACCAGATTCCACCAGTGACAGTGACCAGTGATGCACTGTACCCCTCTCCCACAGCTGTCTATCCAGGAGCACCCTGAGGCAAACTTTCAGGCAACTCCACTGGTGGCTTCCTTGGACCCCTTCACCTGGCTTCCTAGTGGAACATCATGGGTGCCCCTATTAGAACCTTGGATATCCAGTGGGCCATACTCGCTGGGGTTCTGTATGACTGAGTCATGGTCCTGAGGGGAGTGACCCATCCCTATATATATATTATTCCTATATTCTTTAGGGTTTTGCATGTTCCTTTCTAGCCATCCCCTTGCTTCCCCTTGTCCTTGTGATAAGTAGAAATTCTTTGAATTGAACCCTTGTGTTCAAAATAGTGTATGATTTGTCTTTTTTTATTAAACACGAACTAAAACAATTGGTTTCAGGGATGACCCCAGGAGATGGACATACAGAGACAAACTGAGAATCAGCTTGGTCATGTCCTTTCACTGAGGCCTTTCTCAGTAAAATGTCCTGCTGGGGACCTCTGGGATATAGGGGTACTGTAATTAGATTTCTTCTGAGTTTGAAGGTGAGATAATGAAGCAACTGGTCACTCGGCTGGATGTTGGACTTGACATTTTCAGCCATTACAATAGCTGTAGGATGGCAGGACAGAGACGCTTATGCTCTTGAGTAGCTCTAGAAAGAGAACAAGTCCCAGCACCAGCCACAGCCTAAGGCCAGAAACTTCTGTTATAACTGAAAGGAATGTTTTAGTGCTTGCAGACATGGAGGAAAAGGTACTATTGAAAACCAAACACAGATTTTATTTTGGGTCTACGTATGGTTTACTGTGTTCCTGAGCTGGTCTCAGATCTTGAATTCAAGCAGTCCTCCTACTTTGGCCTCCACAGTACTGGAAATAAATGTTACCACCCCTAGTTTCAATTTTTAAGAGTTGCTGACGCAGTAATGGGGTGCACAGTTATATCCAAGTTTTGTGTTGAAATTTAGGGCTTGACTATTAGAGGAGAGATGTCTGCTTGGAGCCGGACCAAATTATCAGTCTCAAAACTCCAAGTCACTCAAAGCTTCTAATAGTTTTTACTAGCAAGAGTGCCTTTCACCCTGGGTGAGCTTGAAGTCAGCAGCAACCCACATTCACAACAGTTTTCCCCGGCATGGCAGGGCTAACAGAAATACTGCTGAGCTGCATTGTATCTCAGCTGTAGAGTAAGGAGCTGCCTTCTGCAAGAGCAGGAGGGGTGTTAGTGAGAGGACCCACACTGGGGAAGCTCTGATCACTCTCCCTTCTAGACCAGGTACACTGCAAGGTGATGACATTGAAATGAACCTGCTGATGTGGCTGAAGTTGGGGAACAGCACCTTAAAAACAAAGAAGAGGACCTCTTTTACAGGTTGTTGTAAAATGAATCAGAGAGGCTTGCAGGCTCTAATCAATGCTAGTGTTTACCCGAGTCGCTGTTACAGAGAATGTAAGGAATAACACAATCCACTTCCTCTCCAGGAGTTTACAATCCAGTAGGAGAAAATGAGACAAACACCCAGTGACTATAAAAACAGAATAGAGGGAGGGAGGTGCCCAGGCCCTTCTGCATTGCCAGCTAAGAGCAGAATACAGTGAGGAAAAGCACGCGATCTGGTATATATTAAAGTGAGCTGGAGCGATTTTCAAAATGCAAACAAGAGTTGGACATAGTTTTCCTCCCTACGCTCTTTCCCTCTTTTCCTCCTACGTTTTATGTTAACATCTATCCAGTGCCTTTCCTCCACCTCAGACAAGACTCCATTTGCCCTGTAGGGAAACTGACCCTGCAAGACACAAGAACTAGGATCAGCCCCAAGCTCTCAGGTGTCTGTTTCATACCTGCTAACCCCTACTTGTCCACTGGGTCATTTTCTCCTTCCTTTGCAGAGCTTTGGCTGGCACACGCACACATCCTCAGGCCTGTGCCATCCCCAGCCCCACTGCCATTCCGGAGGACAGCCTCAGCCTTTCTATCACACTCTCCACTGCTGCCTCCCATTCTACTTCTGATCTCCATTGCAATTTCCTTACCATGGTGGTAGTTTCCTAACTAAATGTTTTTAAAGTCTAAGGCTAGGCCGGGCACAATGCCACAAGTCTGTGAGTGCTCAAGAGGCAGAGGCAGAAGGCTCAGCAAATGTTCAAAGGCAGCCTGGTACACATACTGAATTCTAGGCCAGCCAAGGGCTGCAGAGCAAGACACTGTCTCAAAAACAAACTCAAAATTCTAAGGCCAGATGTAGAATCAGGACAATATTGATTAGTGTGACTGACAAAGGAAAACAATGGGAACTGGCAGGTCAAGTGCTTCAAGTACTGTATATTCCAAGCCTATTTCATTTATTCATTCTGATCATTTAGTAATCCAAACACACTCTTTGCTTTCTATCTCATCTTGAAAACATTTCTAAAACCATACAAACCACTTAAATATTTATATAACTAGTCAAGAGAAAATGCCAAATTTTTCCGAGAACAGTCTCGGCTGGGTTCACATATTTTGCTTTCTTAGTCTCCTCTGTATATTGCTCTTCATGACTTCCTGGGGTTTGTCAACTAAAAGAGTCTTTGAAAATGCAAGTTAGTGAAAATGTACTGAATTCCAAGTGTTACAGGATGCTGGAACAGCCTCTTGAGCATAGCCTTTGCAATAGTCATTCTTCAAAAATGCAGACGTTTATCCCCAAAGGGCTTTATGTTTAACGACTTTGATGTCGGTGGAAGAATGCTCAGTTCTGCTGTAGGAATGTATAGCCAAAATCACTGCAACACGTAGAGAAATGTATTATAGGACCCCTTCCAGACGTGGAGTGTGCGGGGTGTTAGTACAGGATGATCTCTTTGAATCCCTTCAAGATGAACCCTGAATGCCACTTTCAGACCTACGCTTGCCACAGCCTTAGAGGCTTCCATGTAAAATGGAGTTTCACATTAACTGTATGGTAGCTCGTTAATATGCCTGTCTCCTACCAGGCTTTGGTTAAATGTTGAACTTTAACCATTTTTATATCACCATTGCTCCCACATAAGCCCTTTTTGCATAGTAATAAATACTATCAATTAAATGATAATTTTCATTTTACATGAGCTATAGAGAAATGAGTAATTCATTAAGGATCAACCACTTAGTAATTAATAGAACACTTGCTTCAAAAAGCCTTATAATTATAGGCTAACTTCTCATTTATCTATATTTAACATCACTCTAGGTACAGTCATGAAGAGCTTTTGTACAACCATTTCATGTCCTCTATCCTGTGTGATGGTAAACATAGAGTGTGTGGAAACATCTTGACAGTGTTGAGATTAGAATACAGAGTTAAGCAGAAAGACCACAAAATTGCCACATGGACAAAGTTCCAAAGCATGGTGTAACACATTACTCTTCAGACAGCTGCTAGGAGTCTCTTGCTGCTGAAAACAACAACCTGATTAACTACCAATGTGCTTCTTTTTTTTTTTTTTTGGTTTTTCGAGACAGGGTTTCTCTGTGTAGTTTTGCACCTTTCCTGGAACTCACTTTGTAGACCAGGCTAGCCTCGAACTCACAGAGATCCTTCATAGCCAGGCGGTGGTGGTGCACGCCTTTAATCCCAGCACTCAGGAGGCAGAGACAGGCGGACCAGTGTGCTTCTTAAACACCCCAAAAATAAGGAAAAACAGCCACAAGATTCAGCATTCTGTCTGATTCTTATCTTTTATACACCTTCTCATTTAAAGACTGGCCTTAACAGAGCCAACTTCTTGCAGCTCCTTTGGCAAACAGTAATTAATCTGGTAACAGTTATTGTACATATGTCTGGAATCTTCTAAAAGTGTTACATGCTTGAAACATTTGTATCTATGAAAGTCATTCTTTGTTTAACATAGACCTTTGATTCATTTCTACAGTAGATCACAGCTTATAACAATACTCAAAGAAGAAGAAACTTTGAGGCATCCTTCTTATGAACCACATATATTTATAAGGATGCCAAAGAAGCTATAGCAGTGGGTAAGTTTACAGAAAGTCAAAACCAGTTCCCTTGGGATGGTATTCTTTGATCATTACTATTTCTAAATTGTTTCTCAAGTTATCATTGAAATTCCTTTGAAGAGGTAGAGAAGTGGCTCAGCCATTAAGAACACTTGCTGCTCTTCCAGAGGACCAGAGTTCAGTTCCCAGCACCCACGTTAGGTGGCACACAACAGCCTGTAACTCCATCTGAAGGGAATCTGACACCCTCTTCTGGCCTCCATAGGCACCCACACATACATGACTTACATACCTGTGGACACACACACACATATACATACATATACATATACATACATACATACATACATATATATATAGATATCTTTAATTTTTTTTCCTTTAGAAATCTCATTCTGGAGGTATAGTCTTATATTATAGAAGTCATCTTCTATAAGGGTTTTGGTATTGGCTACAATTTTCCTTGGTTTGAAAGCCTTTTGTAACTTTATAAAATATTTAATCTAATATATGATCTCATCACTCTAAGGCAGCAGCTCTTATTTCTTCATGTCTTCTAGTTGGTTTTATATATACATATATATGTATATGTATATAATTTATCTATAAGTAATTCATGTACATACAGAGTTTTTTAAAGTAATAATTGTACATACAGAATTTTATTAATTTTTTTTCCCTAAAAGTGTATTTGTAGAGTCTGAAGGGATGGCTTAGTGGTTAAAAGCACTTGGTGCTCTTGCAGATGACCTGGGTTCAGTCCCAGCAGCCATATTAGTCTATAACTCCAGCGCCAAGGTATCTAGCACCCTCTTTTGGTCTCCATGAGTACTGCATGCATTGGTGCATATAAATACATGCAGGCAAAACACTCATACATATGAAAGAAAAGTTTAAACATTTGCCAGGTGGTGATGGCACATGCCTTTAATCCCAGCACTCTGGAGGCAGAAGCAAGCCCACTGGGAGTTCGGGGTCAGCCTGGTCTATGGAACTAGTTCCAGGACAGCCAAGGCTGTTACACATGAAACCCTGTCTCAAAAAGAAAATTTTAATTTTAAGTATATTTGCAAATTTTTATTCTATATGGCCATACTCATCTACAGATACATACACATCTAAGCCATAGTTCTATAGCTATACATAGTTTGGAAATGGATGTCGTGTACCAATAAAAGAACTGCTCTTTGACACTAGGACACCTTTCCTCTTAAGCCCTCACGGAGCTCAGAATCAATCTGACACTGGGAAATAAGCAGCTCACCGAAAAAATAAGAGGCTGATTAAACAGTCTGAACTAGATTCCATTCCTATACTGAGATGCAAATGCTGTCGCTAGGTTTGACCCACTTGCATTAGCCTTTCTGGACTAGAGGAGCTTCCCTAACAGGTCAGTGTATGGCCTCTTTTCCTAGAAAATCATCGCTGTATGAGGAAATGCATGTAGACATGTGTGTATGTGTGTCTCTACATATATGTATACATATAAGACAGGAATGAGTGGGTACGCTGCTTCTTGTTTTCAATGTTTCTCCGTCTTCTAAATGAATTGATGTAACTTTTTATGATAAAAGCTATTTTAAAAACTAAGCCCATTTATTTCTTCACTCAGCAGCAGTTCCTTAGCTCCTATTAATCTTTTAGTGTCTATATGTGTGTGTGATATACATGTGTGGAAGTGAGAGGACAACCCTCAGAAGTTAGTTTTCCTTTTACTATGAGATACGGAGATCAAATTTAGGTCGCAAGCTTGTGCATCAAGAGCTTTTACCAATGTTCATGAATGTATATGGTGTACAGATACACATGTGTATGCAGGTGAACCTGTACATGTGTGTGTGCATGCAAGTGGACACCAGAGGTCATTCAGGTATCATTTCTCAGAGCCATCCACCTTGGGGGATGTATGAGTGTTTTACCTGCATGTATATATGTACAGCACATGCATGCCTGTTATCTGCAGAAGTGAGAAGACATTGACTGAGCTCCTGGAACTAGAGTAGCAGATGGTTGTGAGCCATTATGTGGGTCCTGGGAACTGAACCCAGGCCCAGATCCTCTCCAAGAGCAACAAGCACTTTAACCCACTGAGCTCTAATTAGCTGGCCACACCTCATTTTTTGAAACAGACTGGGACATAAGGCTTGCCAGTTAGACTAGCTGGCTGGCCAGCAGGCCCCATGGACCTTCCTCTCCCAGCACTGCGATATCAGTTACTGCCCTGCTGGCTTGTTAGGTGGGTCTCAGGGATCAAGCTTAGGTCCTCTTGCTGGTGTGGCAAGCACTTTACCAGCAGAGCCACCTCCTGAACCCTCCAGTTTTAAGTTTTAATTTCAAGTTTCAAATATTAATCTCTTTAAAGAATTCTTCTCTAATCACAGCTAATGATGAAAAAGGAATCTACATTTATGTCTAAAAGACATTTTTCCCATCTTTCATGTGAAGGCATAGTCTTTTAGTGACATTGAAATCATAAATTTATTATTTATTTTTATGTCACTGAATTTCTGTGTGAGTATACTTATGTCTATTTTCAAGAGGAAATGTACACCTGGAAAACAGGAAGCCAACACGGTGAAATGTGGTTGCTGCATTAACCACACCAGCCGCTGGGTGTCTCCATTGCATCACCCCACTCTATCTCTGACGGAAGTTTCCAATCAAAGAGATGGAGAGCAAAGCTTTATTCACAGTTTTCTTTCTTTATACTTAAAAATATTTTTCACATGTATGAGTGTTTTGACCACATATATTTGCATCGTGTGCATGCCTGGTGTCTGGGGAGGTCAGAAGAAAACATCAGATCCTCTGGAGCTCAAGTTAGGGACCTTGGTAAGCCTCCATAAGGGTGCTGAGACTCAAACCCAGAACTCTGCAAGAACAAGTGCTCTGAACTGGTGAACTATCTCCAGTTGCTTCACAGAATTCTTAGTTAAGAAGACCCAGCATTTTCCTGTCAGATGGCCTATTGAGAAACAGTTCTCCCTATGTGTGTCATATTTTCTTTCATTTTTTGATAACTGGACACTTCATTTGCCAAGGAGAGGAAACCTTTATTGCATCCATTTGTAAATTTGTAAATGTATTTTAATAGCTATCATTTTAATAGTCCAATAATCAAATAAAAACATGAGACCACATGTAGTTCTTTTATACAAGTGGAATTCTACATTGCCTCTCACAGTAAGTGTCATTTAAGTAGCAGCATTTTGCACAAGAAGAAAGCACCGTCACTTACAGATGCCTTCAAAGCACACAGGAAGCACCTGGTGACCGTCTACTGCCTGGAAAAGCTCCCTTCTCTGTTTTTATCTTTCCTTTGCTGCCCTGTCTAAGCTAGGTTGGGCAGACAAGTTTTGAAGAAAGATCATTGTTTAATACAGCTGTACTTTAACCCTGAATCATTCCATTAGTAAAGGGCATTCTAGAAATTACATAAATGGTGACGGTTTGAAGTATTCTTAAATATGAACTATAATTTAGTGTTGGCTGCAAGTTGATTTACCTGTCTGCTCAGGGAAACTAATGGATGGTGAAGTCTGATGAAAAAAATTTGAATTCCAACAGCAATGAAAGCAGAATTCATTTTTCATTCTATAAACTATAAATAGAGGAACTAAACACAGAATTTGGTGATGACAGAACTCCAAGTGAGAAACTGGAATTTAAATATCAAGTTTACCTTCTCAGCAAAAGACAGAGTTCCAAGCTAGATGATATGTAGCTTTAGATAAACTCAAACAGATGAAGAAGTAATGTAGGATCCTAAGCACTAGGATTGGAAATTATTTAATACCATGCAGCTCACAGAATTATCTTCAAAAGAGTGGAATAAGGAATCTGATAGGCTGGCCATAGATAGAAGGTGATCACAACCACCATCTTATCCAAAGAGAAATCCACATGTAAACTTGAAGCTCTGGTCACACAGGCCAGCCTTAGGGTGGATTGAGTCACTTTTATGGATAATCCATATGGCAATAGTATTACAATTCCTACCCTCCAAAATCAATGTGGCCAGAATGTGGTAGCCAGGTGGCAACAGGCACATCTACCCATTAGCTTCACTATCTTCAGTGGCTTCTGGGATCTTTCTGTGTTTTTGAATGTCTTATTGAATCAGATTCTTTGCAGTGGCTAGACTCCTTAGAATATCATTTGCATTTAGGTTATTGAAGTCTTGAATGGGGCTAAATTTTATAATTTTTTTACCATAAGCATAATTATATTAATAAAACTTGGATTTAAATATGTTTACATGTTCTTAAATGTCTAATGTATTTTTGTGAAGATTCAATTCCAAGGGCTGGGAGTGCTTCTCAGAGGCAGAATGCTTGTCTAGCAAATATTCAATCCCTCCTATAGCAACTTGATTCTCTCATTCTTTTTTAAACCATGAAATGTTACAAGGATACTGTCTTAGTTAGGGATATGGCAGCATGCAGACAGACATGATGCTGGAGAAGGAGCTGAGAGTTCTTACATCTTGATTCACAGATATCAGGAAGTGGTCTGTCTCACCAGGCATGGCTTGAGCATATATGAGATCTCAAAGCCCACCTCCACAGTGACACACTTTCTCCAACAAGACCACACCTACTCCAACAAGGCCGCACCTCATGATAGTGCCACTCCCTTTGGGGGCCATTTTCTTTCAAACCACCACATTCCACTCCTTGGCCCCCAAAGGCTTGTTGTAGTCATATCATAATGCAAAAGTGCTTTCAGTCCAACTTCAAAAGTCCCCATAGTCTGTAACAGTCTCAAACTTATTTACAAGTCTAAAATTCAAAGTCTCTTCTAAGATTCATGCAATCTCTTAACTGTAATCACCTATAAAATAAAAGTCAAAGAGGTGATCACATACTTCCAACATACAATGACACAGGACATACATTACCGTTCCAAAACAGAGGGAAAGGAGCATAGTGAGGAAATACTGGACAGAAGCAACACTGAAAACCAGCTGGGTAAACTCCAAACTCTGCATCTTCTGTCTGATGTCAAAGAACTCTTCA